GCGCTCTGCCTCCCCTTCTCAGCAGAGCACAGCAGATGACATTAGAAATTTTCTGAAGGCTCAGCAGCTTCACCTTCCCTACACTCATGGGTACAGGAAACCGTGTTGAAAGAGTCTCAGTTCTGGGTTATTAGGAGAAGAGACAGGGCCTTCCACCATGAGCAATATCTGCCTTTCCTACTGCCCACTGGCCACATAGGGAGACAGCCTCTTGTCCAGCTTTCTCTGAGGCACAGTAGCATTCTGGCCACCCAGCAAGACAAGAAGCACATTGCACAAGTTTGGCTGAGCTGTTCTGGTGCTCAAGGCAAGAAATTCTGGCTTGGATCCTGAATGTTCCCCAAGACTGCACCCAGGAGTTGTTTATCCCACCTGAAGTCTTTCCACATTCCCCCCAGTTTTTAGTACCCTCTCCCTCCTTGAATCATCGCTATTAACTTATCTAGGTACATTATATCTTGTCATCTCCAACAGGGAATCCTTGAGGGAAGGAACACTACTTTTTTTTTTTAATTTTTGTAACCCCAGCACCTATAAGAAGAAGAAAGGAGGAGGAGGAGGAGGAAGAAGAAAGAAGAAAAGGAAGAAGAAAAAGGCTATGCCCCAATTGCCCTAGTAGCCTCTGCAGATAAGATTATACCATCCTCTATTTTATGAATTTCCATCTATTAAAAGCTAGAACTCACAAGTCCCCATCAGTGTATTTGCCTTTAATAATCGTCAGATACTATTAGTTCAAAACAATAGCATTTAATGAAGAGAACAGTTAAAAACATAGCATAAAGGCACATACCAACAATAGAAAGTATACACACAAGTAGCTGTACATCTATGGAAACTATACAGCCAGGGCATGTGTATGGATGTGCATACATATCGGAAGTACGTCAGGCTAGGAAGTCAGACACAATGGAAGGCAGACTCATGCCTCCAGTGAGGAAGGGCTGTCATTATCTGCCGCATCGACACTGCCGTGCTGGCCTTCCACAACTCTCAGGGGGCTACTGCTAAATGCTCTGCTGGTCCCGTGGTCAGTGCCCATCGTCAGTGCTGGTCATTGTCCACCACAACTCCCCTGGGCACTAGGCTCTGGAGTTTTTCTCTGCTGCCAGCTTCTGGCTTCAGCTGGAGTTAGAGAATTACAATATTTCCTCACACTATTTTCCCCACAGAATCTTCTCAGCTGTTATATCTACCTTATAGGAGCATGAGTAGATTCTGATATCATTCTTTTATCTTAAAGCTCTTGGGCTTTTTCTGCTATAGCTCTTTTGAGAAAGGAAAAATTCCTCACACAGAGGACGGTCTGCCTATTCTCAGAGCCTTGACTACAAAGGACTTTCTTCTCCAAATAGAGATTGCTGATTTCAGGCGTCAAGCCTTGTGGAACTCTGAGCAGAGCCATCTCCAACTAACTAGTTCTTTCAGGCTTAAATCAATTTTTCACTGGTATTTTGTGACCACCAAGGATGGTGTTTCTGTCAGAAACTTCCTTCTTACACGGGGGAGTAATTCCTTATATCTTCCTTTTTAATTGCCAGAGATTGGAGTATACCTGATGAGCATCTGTTTTAGAGGCTGCCCTGCAGACAAATTGTCCCTTGGCCCTTGCCTTTAGGGTTGGAATGCCCAGATTCTCAACCCCAAAATTCCTCTTCTGTGAGCTCCCTGAAAGCAGGGACTGTCTTATGCCTTTCTTTGTATCCTTGGTGCTCAGCACAGTGCCTGGCACATAATAGATGCTTAATAAATGTTTATTGACTACTGTTGATTCTTCAAAGAGTGGGAGATGGAAAGGAGCCATAAATAAAGCCAATATCCACAGGTCAAGTTTTCATTTCTCCATGACCTAACTGTATTATTGACCTTTTTCATGTGTGCGTAAGCTTACCCTATTATAGCAATAATATAATAATAATAATAATAAT